ACCTGAAATTCGCTCCGCTGTACGGGTATACAATTTAAAGACAAGTGATGGCCGTGATGATCCCGATATTATAACAGGTATTTTCCAGCTGTATGATAAATTAATATTGATGCTGATTGATCCAGTTTCTAATTATTCTTATATTACTAGTAAATTAGTAAAGGAATTGAGAATCCCATTAGAATCTACGAGTAATGAGGTAATAGTAACTAATCCTTTAGGGCATAGTACTCGAGTAAACAAGGTTTGTAAAGGGTGTCCCCTAAAGATTAAGGGAATTGAATTTCCTGCTAATCTAATGGAACTACCTTTTGATGAATTCGAAGTGATTCTGGGAATGGATTGGTTGTTTCGAAGTAATGAGGTAATTGTAACTAATCCTTTATTGGTTGTTCATTACTGTTCATTACTATTTACGGCACTGTTTATTACTGTTCACGATACTATTCATATCATATTTTACTGTTCATAAAATGTATACTTTATTATATTTGTTATAACGAACATAATTTAATAATATATTATCATATTTTCTTAATATGAGTTCAAATATTTTGTTATTTTGTAAGAATATTATTTTAAAAAGTCAATGTGACGTATCAGACTCGTATCCGGGTCAGGTACGGGTTCGGGGTGTTACATGGTGATAGCAATTCACTTGCCCTGGCCAGACAGAATGAAGAGTGGACATATCAGGAAGTGCCTCGTAAGATCAAAAGTGGATTTCAGAAAGTGAAAATCATGTTAGAATAGCGTTAGAGGGTTTCTACTGTTTGAATCAGAAAAGTAATAGGAAATAGTTTTGTTATTTTGCTGATAAGATAGAATATGGTGAACCAGTATCACCATAAGAACGTTCAAAGATCAAATGATGTGGTGAGAATTTGTAGAAAAGTTTGAGAATAAGTATTCGGTGATAAGTTTATCTGATATATGAAGCCAAAGTTTATGAATTTGGAACAGGGGAATCGTAACGTGTATGGATAAGTGTTTAGTTAGATAAGTTGAATGAGTTGTTGTAAGGATAATTTTAATGAAAAAGAAGTATGTAAGTGGTTTGTGAATAGCTTGTGCCCAGACTAAAAGAGTATCATTGGTATGGAAATGATTTATGTGTAAGTGAATATATGTATATAAGATTAGCTACGTGACAATGAGCTAGGTGAAAGTAAGTTATGAGAATGATATAACAAGAAGTTATAACATACGTTTATGAGAAATGATGTGGATTTGATAAATAAGAATGTGAGTTTGATGAGTTAAGTAAATTATTGTTGAATTAAGTTCGAATGGAAGAATGTATATAAATGGTTCGATGAATGTTTACGTTTCAGATTGGAATAACTAGTGTTGATTAATGAAGTTATGTGATAATAAGTGTAATTGAGATAAAGGATTAAAAGATAATGTCAGAGTAAATTAATCAAGTGTGGCGTGAATTTGGATACAGTTGTATATTGGATCTTATGAATGTGGTATAGCTAAGAAGATAAGGATTTGTGTATCCAAAGGAAGCTAAAGATAATAGTAAAATATATAGATTGTATATAGAATAAGGATTTTGTATAAGAACAAGAATTTGAGTAATTCATATGGATTATAAGAGTTATGAAGATGCAATAAATATGAGTAATCAGATATAAGTATAAGGGAAATGAAAAGAGTATGAGAACACGAGTGAAAGATATGGGTTAGTTATGTTATAAGGATACCTTGATTATGAAAGGATAAGTGGAAAAAGAAATAAAAAAGGATAGTGTTTAAAGAACCAGATGTGATAAAGGTTATGTTAAGGTATAGATTTTAAGTGTGACTAGAAGTAAGAAAGGCATGTCGGGTAATACGAGAGGTTGTTTGAATATGCAAAGTGTATGTTAATCAATTATGATGAAGAATTAAGGATTTTATTTTTTCTTTGACAAGTAAATGTACTCAGAGAAATAAAGAATGATTTATATGTATTAGGGAAGTTTTAGAGGCAATTAAGTAAAGAGGGAGTAAAAGTTTGGTTATTATGGCGATGTAATTAAAGATTGATAAGGAATTTGATGGATTTATGATTTTCAGTGATAAGAACTAATGTTATTGTATATATGATAAGTGACATTATATGGATGTATAAAGGAAAAAGGTAGTTGAAGAATTGAAATGATGAAAGCCAAGTTATAAATGATAATGCGAAAGATTAAATTGAGAAGGTAACATAAGAATATGAATAGAATATGTGTAGACAATATCTTTATCTATTAATGCAGTGAAAATTCGAGGACAAATTTTCTTAAAGGAGGGGAAATTTGTAACATCCCAAATCAGGGTTAGTGACTAAATTGCAAATTTTGAAAACTATGTGCTCAATTTCAAAACAAGTTAAAAGTTCAAGGACTTAAATATGAATAATTCCTTATTGGATTAAATGGTAATTATGGAAAGTTTGAAGGGTATAATGATAATTTTATAAGAAATATTTTTATTCCTCCTTTTATATAGGATATAAAAACCTGGAAAAGAGGGGAAAGGAAAAAAAGTCTGAAAGATGGTTCATCTTGCTCCTTCTTATTCCCGTGAGCTCAGTTGCAAGATGAGTTTCATATGAGTTGATTATTCCTTAATTTTATGATGGGTTTTGATTCTTTGGATAGTAAGAAAGCTTAAGGAAGTATAAATATAAGTAAAAACTCAAAGATGGACATGTTAAGAGAGATTAAGTAAATAGAGTTTTTTAAGTGAAATTTTGAATAAGAAAGTTTAAATGAATTTGGAAGTTGAATTTGATTTGTAATAAGTGTGAATAAGAAGTTATAAGTGTTAAAAATGAGTTTGGATTACATGGAACATTTAGTAAGATTCTTGGTTTTAAGAATTTGGATGAGATATGAGAGATAATAAGATGTTGAAATGATGGAAATTAGTTAAAGTGTTTATAGTTGGGTTTGGTAGTATAAAAAGGACTTTATATAATGAAATTTAGTGAAGAGTTGTGAAATTTTTGGGTGAAAAATGTATGTTCTGAGCAGGGTGTATCGGTACACTATAAATAGGTACCGATATACTAAGACCAATTTTGAAAAATATCTTCATGGTGTATCGATACATTGAGGAGTGTAATGATACCTGTGAATTTCGAAAGCAATTTGGGTATCGATACACCCGTACTGTATCGATACCCTCCTAAAGGGAAAATGAATTTTTGGTTCATTAAATTAGCCTAAGTTATTAGCATCAAATTATAAGGTTTAGGCTTCTGTTAATCGTCTTGAAAATTTTATTTATGTAGATACATAGCCTAAACGAGTTCCGAAACAATTGACAAGTAGGATCGATCGAGGAAAAGATAAGAGATTCGTATTGAATAGTGAGGCCAGGTGAGTGCACATTATTTAGTATATGATGTTTAATGGAAAATAAGACTTGTGATAAGTCTATTTCCAATATTAAAATGCATGAATTCATAGATAGAAGTATGTGTTTGCTATGATTTATATGTATATTACATGTTACTATGATCATATTATTTGTATATTACATGATTTGTATAAGTGTTTATAGTGTGATAAGTCATGTGAAATAGTTCAAATGATCTATATGATCATATAAGAATATGAAATAAGTTATGTGATAAAGACATAAAGAATGAAATGAACATGTGACATAGGCTATAAGCTAAAGAATTATTTGATATAAATATATGTTATCTGAATATGATAAACCATGTGATATTGAATTATGCGAATATGTATGAATGGTATAAGTTATATGATTTTAAGGTATGTGAATATATAACTATGGGAAAACATAAGAATAAGATATAAACAATGTGATAAGAAATGTAAAATGACATGAAAAGTTGATACAAGCTATGTAAAAGTGATCTATGTGACTATATGTGATACAAGTTATGTGACATAAGCTACGTGATATGTGAAAGTGAACTATGTGTTTATGTGAATATGTGAAATGATATAAATGATAATGTCCATGTTATGTGTCATGAGAGCTAGGGGTATAGTTGGCATGCCAAGAGTCGGGGGTTCTACACGGTCATTCGGGACATAGTGGTCCTTCGGGACATATGTGATATGTGGTCCTTTGGGACATAGTGGTCCTTCGGGACAAATTCTACGCGCCCCTAGTGGGAATTATATGAGCTATGGTGACAGCATATTGCACAACCTCTATGTACTCACATATCTTTAGTTCTCACATGTGTACATGGGCTAATAAAGAGATAATAACAAATACACTATATGTGATAAGTATGTTTGATAATATGAAATATGTTATAGAAATTACTTGATAACATGTTTGTTCCTTGGTGTAGTGATATACGTGTGATATGATGTGTATATGCTAAGAAAAAGATATTAATGATGATGATAAAAATAATAATAAGGATAATGAAATGATATGTATATGTATGCAGCCATGTAGTTATGTTGTAATGCATAATGCATTCTATAGTTTATGATGATAGCATAAAGTGTGCATAGTAGGAATTAGTAATGATATGTTATAGTCAGTTTATTTATGTCTCACTAAGTCATCGATTTAGCGTGTGAGTGCTTCACACGTAGGTTCTGGAATCGAGAAGAGAAACTAAGGGGAGCAAGACAGGTTAGCATTCTCATTCCTAAAGATCAGATCAGAAAAGTTTTGAATTATCTGTATTTTATTATATGAAATGTAATTGACATGTAAGATAAAAGTTTTGTATTGGATACGCTCTGATAAGTTTTGTAAAACATATGTTTTATACAGTAGAAATTATTTGGTTTTATTGGAAATGTCAAACTGAATTTTATTAGACTTTGTCAAAGTAAATGTTTTGAATAGTCAATGTGACACCTCAGACTTGTATATGGGTCAGGTACAGGTTGGGGGTGTTACAAATACACTGCCCCGTCGACATGAAATTTCTTGTAGAAAGGAATTATAACAAGTGAAGTCCCTTTTTCAAGTGCAATTTCACACACATCATCATGCATTGTTTGAGGCGGAGATACTTAAATGAAGGGGGAAACGGAGACAAGACCTGCATGGGTTTCCTCGAAGTTTTTGAAGGCGTTGATAACAGGCCCTGAGCCCCTTGTCTTGGGAGAGACCCTTCTGGTCTTCCTATGTGAAATGAGGAGCGGCGATGCAGCCCCAATTATCTCAATCATGTGAAGCATGTAAACAACAATCGGGCTCTGCTTGCCGGGACTTAAGGTGGCAAGGAGGTTAATGGCAGATGGAACATTTTGTTCCTCATGAATGCAGACTAGGACTCTTAATCGGGAGTTTGGTCTTGACTGCAACACAGTTCTTCCAATGTAACCCCGGTGCCTCCTTGAAGAGTCATAGTAACATTACGAAATTGATGCAATAACTCCGGTGCTTTTCAGCACCGATAAGCACATGGCAGTAAAGGCCTCGTGACCTATTAGCAGCAAATTGCAATGCCAACCAACATCTACGTGTGTTTTTATCAATATGTAAAGCATTAAGACGAAATACTAAATAATACAAGTGTGAAACATTATGATACATACCCCTTTACGTTTCATTAGCTTATACAATACAAGCTCGAAGATGCCTTGAAAAGTCATGAAAAAACCAAGAGAAATAGCATCTCTCTGCGGCACTTGGCAGCTGACTGCACTCAGGGAGGCTCCTAAGAACTTCCCAAATGCACCCAACAGGGAATAGAACTGAACTTTGAAGTAAATTTTAAATCTAATAGCAAAGATGTCTAATGGGAGCCCAAATTTCACAAAAAATATTGGCAGCAGCATCCAATTGTTTATCACATCAAGCTTCTCTACAAGCGCTGACCCTAGTGGAGGCCCTGACGGTATCAACAACCCAAATAAATAGGGACCAAAATAAATATCTAAGCCGAAACTACGTGCCCAAAACCCAGACATCAGCACTGCTACAAATAGCACAACTAAGTTGCCTTGTTTCAAAGGTTGTCCACCCAATGTCTGCTTCATCTCCCAAAGAAGTATAGGGCCAAGAGTACAACAGACTAGAGTTGCAAAGATGACGATACAACAAATCAATTCGAAGAAGAGCAACACGTCGTCTTCCGAATGGGTCCATAGCAAGTTAGACGTAATCACACACAGACTGCACAACGTACTAACCATTGAAGAACATACTGCCACTCTGCCAACTTCTGAATTTATAACCCTGAGCTCGGAAATGTAGTATGTTACCATGGAATAAGAAACCATGGATTCCGCCTTGGCTATCTCCAGAAGGCGATTGATCCTCTTGTCAATCGGATCTTCGAATTGCATCCACACGAGGGCAGTGGCCATGGTTAGTATCATAGGCACTGCCACCGTGAAAAAAACCAATGGCAAACGTCTTCTTGGTTATTTTCTTAATCATCCACACATCTGTTTGTACGCCAATCAGGAAGAAGTAAAACATGAAATCCATAGTGGATACAAACTTCTTATGGGAAATATGGTGTTGGGAAACCCTGGAATCATGGACAGCATTGATGGCCCCACCTGTATTCCACCCTGACATTGTTATTATAAATAATGATAAAATAAAACACTACCATCAACCAATCAAACAACAAATGTATTTGAGAAAGAGCTTACTAGGATTTGAGCGAACATGAGGGGCACGCCAAGACGCCGAAGGAGAGAAAAGGTAAGAAGGATGGCGGCGGAGGCAAAGGCCAATTGGAGCATCAAAAGCGGGAGCATGAAAGTGAAAGGACTTGAATTGTCAAATATACTAGCGTGTGATAAACCGCAGAAGTTGGAACAAACTAAACTGGGATTCTTTGTCAACAGGGTCCTTGGCATGCTTCCAAACAAACGAATGTAGTCGGGTTCCATTGTTGAAACCCGAATGATTGTTCCAAATGTAGTAGAGACGATGGAATACAGAGGTGGTTAAGATTAAGACCCACATAAGGGTGAAGGTTTCAGGCTGACAATTCGTTAACGAAAACCACATTTTAAGCCATTCATTCATTTTCTTTCTCTCCCTCTTTTTTTCTTTTACTAAATATATTCAGCCAAAATATTTTTTATGACCATTACTAATGAAATAACATTTTTTTAGTCGGCCAAAATATTTTATTTTATGACTTTATTTTTTAATCTGTACAAAAATAATTTTAAAAAAGTACGAGATAAAAGTAAAAACAGGTTAAGTTTGCAACAAACTCTTCATCAGTGAAATTGTAAAACCCGTGATGTCTTCATTTCGACATTCAGCCTTGTCACCAGGTTGTCTCAACGTTGCTTCATGCCGAAGCAGTAGTCCCACAACGAGGAAACAAATGGAATGAGCACAAGCGTGATTGTATAAATAAAAAGCAGCTGGCAACATTGCAGCATACTTACCTGGACAGGGTCAATGGGTGATCGACAAGGCCCATGGCTTAGGTAAGGGACTTCCATTGCACTTGGGAAGGGCCCTTGCCTAAGGTCTCCTCAAAGTAGGAGAGCCTATGTCATAATTTGTGGCAGTGTGGGCCTGCGTTCGCGCGCCCCCGACCAATTCAAGTATGAAGTTTATGGAAATATTTGTTAATTTCTTGAAGTTGTTGATGAAACCGACCAATTCAAGTATAAATTTTATGAATTTTTTTTTATTAATTTGTTAAAATTGTTTATGTCGAGTGAAGAATTTCAATTGAGGATCAAGATTCTAAGCTACTCAGACTGTGTCAATTCTTCTGTTCTAGCAGCAGTGGTATGCTTACATCCTTATTGATGGTCATGACGTCTATGCCTGAAGCAATGTTGACTAGTAGTGTAATAATTTCCTAATTCTGATAAAGAAAAATGAGCAATGAGCAACTTAATGTTCATGGATGCACGTAGATAAAGCTAATGAGAAAACTCCTACAACGAACAATGTTTAATGCCATGCAAAGCAATGAGCTGTTTATAGTGTTGTTTAAAGCCACTAACAAACAACAGAAGAAACAAAAACAGTGTGTTCAGTAGCAAATTGCTAGTTGGCTTTGCCTTGTTGCCCAATACTGCATATGAAAAGTTATTGGACCATGAGGTTTTCCAACTTGCAAGATCTGAATTTGGTTTAGACTCGAATTATTTTTTGACAGAAACAGAAGACATAGTGGTTGCAGACATAACAATCTCAAATTACTTAATGATGTAGCTTCGACTTGTATATAATTAAATATACTAAAAATAAATTGATTACTAAAGCTCATGAATATAGTTTAAATAAAATATTCTATGAAGTTATTAGATTGAAGAAAAAATAAATAATTTCATTCTAAAAATTTGAACTTTTTTTCTCTAATAGAATACTGATATATCTAGTAAGTTTAATGAAAATTTTCAAGGATAGTGTCCATATATGACACAATAGGGATATAAGCGAACCGTTTTCGGTGCTGAATTTCATCGGTGAACATTTTCCCAAGTTTGCTTGTGAATTTGTAAACCCCATGAATGATCTCCTTGGATGTTTTAACGGTTCTTCATGCCGAAGCAGTAGTCCCACAACGAGGAAACAATGTAATGAGCACAAGCGTGATTGTATAAATAAAAGCAGCTGGCCACACTGCAAAATACTTACCTAGACGGGGTCAACGGGTAATTATGAAGCTTCATGGTCTAGGTAGACTTCTATTGCACTTGGGAAGGGCTCTTGCCTAAGGACTCCTCAAACTAGGAGAGCCTACGTCATAATTTGTGATAGTGGGGACCTGCGCGGCCCGACCAATTCTTTATATAAAATATTCTTGTGCGCAATCATTGGGAGATTTGAATTTTTAATATGAATAAGGCTTAATATTTTATATTTATACGTTTTATAATAGAGCCGAAATGATATTTTCTGTTTTTATTCCCTAAATCGATTCAATATTTAGTATATTAGAAATATCAATTAATTTGTCAAAATACTTGATGACTGAAGAATTTCGAGTAATGGATAAAGTTGGTCAAGGTATAAAAAATGAATCACTTTCCAAATTCAAATATTAAATAAATTGATTACTACTTTAATATATAATTAAATATGTAATGATCAATCCCTGGTAAATTTAGGTTAATACTTTTGATTAATTTAAGAACATTTCAAAATTATATAAATAAAATTTAAAGATATATTTAAAATTTGACGACACCCATTACAAATTAATTCGACAATCAATTATATTTAATACCGAACATTTTATTAAGATGATATTAAATTAAAAATATTTGTATAGAGGTTTAATTTAAATTTACTCTTGAACACCTAACAATTGTTGAGAAAATGAAGATAAAAAGGGACTATTTTAGTTATTAATCAAGGTCCTTGAGAAACAATTTGAACCAAAAAAGCAAAAACGTATTAGTGGAGATTGCTTTTATTTTCAACCGTTGATTTCTTTACAAATGATGAATTTTAAATCAAAGTTATAAAGCCATAAGTATAGTCCGATATGTTTGATTTATAGGTCTGATAATTCCGGCGTTGCTCTGAAGATGGTAATATGCCATTTGATAGGATAAACTTTGATAAAATGTACTTGGGTAATTTTAGAGTATAGATTAGAGGTATGTTATACATTTGTAATATTGGCTTTTACGTTTTGATATTTGATTGGTTCTGTGACGTGTTATTTGATAGGGTGATATGTACTATTTTATCTAAAAGTATATGAACTCAAAATTTTAAAAAAGATATATAATCAAGTTGATAAGATAATTGAATTGAAATGTATTTACAAAACTATGAGATTTTGAATTAATATAAAAAATGCGTATGGTGTTAAATTTATATGTGGTCTTAATTATACGATAATGGACGCAAGTATATTAAGAAAAAAAATGTATTAAAAGTGAACATTTCGTAGTTTGATGCGATAATATGTATTTATATTTAGAATAATTAAATTACACGAGGTTTTGATATGTGTTAAATGCGTAATTTGATCTAATCATATTTGGTAATTGATAAGCAATTTGACTCATCTAAGCATAAATGTTCTTTGTTTAATAATTTCATCTGTTTCTATTGTAGCTTTATAGAATAAGTTTGTTGTACAATTCAAAGTTGACATTGAATATATTTGATCTTTGGCAATCATGAATCGTTGAGTAGAACAATGATTTTAACACATCGAGGTGTCAACTCACCACTAGATGTGATGTTCGTGAATAGAAGAAACGTATCCCACATTGCTTATGTAAGTGATATACCCGCTGTTTAAATTGACACTTAAGAGATTTGTAGCTCGCCGGGTGGAGTAACGTCCGCTTGTAACCCAAGTGGGGGCTTTGATGTGGTTGAACATTAGTCCGGTCCACTGAGTCGGGCTCATGGTTGCTTGCTTCTAGCCTGCCCGTTCCAAGCTAAGAATGACTCGTGGGATTTGTGCGAAGGCATTAGATCTCTTGAGTCTTAAAGCGTAAGGCACAGCGTGAGGCTGGTTTCACAGAGCAGCGACAATTTCCTTCTCTTGGCAGTGGAAGGATAACAGGCTGATGCAATCTAGGTCCACAATGGCTCCGTAGGCCGTTCTTAATTGAACAATCACATTTTTGGCTCCTCATTATTTAAATTATAAATTTATATTTATATTTATATTTTCATAATTTAAAATATTTTCTAAAAGTACATTGACCAAACTAATAGGAAAACATAGTTTAGTTAATTCAGTTTTTGGTCTATTAGAGCCTCAGCCCTCATGGACTGAAAATGAAGCAGCCCAAAGCCCCATTATATTAAAAGCTTTTTCGTTTTTCTTATTGTTTAAAAAAGCTTTTTTTTCCCTTCCCTTTTTGATTGATTAGAAAAAACTAATTTGGAAATAAAAGTGAAATCCGGGAAATGAGCAACCGGATTTCTTAGCGCAATTTGATTCTTTCCGCTTCATCCGATGTGATAGATAGACAGATTTGATATATTTAAATGCAGTAAAAAGCCCAAGCAGTCGACGTTTTACTTCCTCGTCTTCTCAATGGATAACCGAAGCGTCGTTGTTTGCGACAACGGCACCGGCGTAATTCATTTTTCTCTTCTCTTCCTCTGCATGAAATTGCTTTCTAATAAATTACTCAAATCACTTGATTACCTACTTTAAGATAAAATTTAGTCATTAGACAGCTTGATTTCCAAGCTTCCTCTATCATTTTTTTAAGTTTCATTTTCTTTCAGTTTACTTGACTAGGTCTGTTTAATGTTCGGTTGCAGTACGTAAAATGTGGTTTCGCTGGAGAAAATTTTCCGACATCGGTGTTTCCGTGCGTGATCGGGAGACCTATGTTACGGTACGAGGAATCTCTCATGGAACAAGAGTTGAAGGTCCTGAAATTGTTTCTTATAATTTTGCTTTTTCTTTTCCTTATTTCAAAATTTTGGAATTCAAAGATCATGTTATTTTTTTTAGATTTGGCAGCTGTAAGTTTTTTGGAGTATAGCTTATATTTACTGATTTTTTTTTCTTCATTTACATATTTTGAACTTTGGTTAGGATATTGTTGTTGGAGAAGCATGTGCTGATTTGAGACATCAGTTGGATATATCATATCCGGTTACTAATGGAATTGTGCAGAATTGGGATGATATGTACCATGTTTGGGATCACGCCTTCTACAATGAATTAAAGGTCTTCTTGCCTCTTTTTTTTTGGTTTGGGCCTCATTCATGCTATTTATTTATTGTATTGGTCTTGATTATGTTTTATGTTGTTTGTAAGCAGATTAATCCTAGTGAATGCAAGATATTACTTACCGACCCACCTCTTAATCCCTCTAAAAACCGTGAACAAATGGTTTGAAGTCCAATTTATTTATTTACTAATTGATTGAAATTTTCGAGAACTTAACTTTAGGATCTGATGAGTTGGGTTGATTTGAGATTGCAGGTTGAGACCATGTTTGAAAAATACAACTTTTCTGGTGTCTTCATTCAAATCCAAGCTGTTTTAACTTTGTATGCTCAAGGTGCCTAAGGAAATAATTGAAAGTTTAATTATCATTATATGTGCGTGTGTGCTTGTATAATATTCACGTTTGGCATGGGGTTCAGCTACTGCACTTTGAAAACAATAGAAGCTATTATAATGGCCCGTTACCAAGAATATTGTAATATTGTACTGTGGGGGTGCAGGAATCTTTGTTCAAACCATTAATGTCCATATTTTGTACCATTAATGTTGAAAAGTATTACTATGAATTGTTACAGGTCTTCTAACTGGATTAGTTATAGACTCAGGTGATGGTGTCACTCATGTGGTAAACTGTTCAACAACCCTTCACCATTGTTTTTAAGAAAGTTACAGTATGTACTAAGGTGCACCATTGCAGGCGCACTCAAGGTGAAGTCTTGAGAATAATTACTTCGGATTTTTGTCTCAGGTTCCTGTTGTTGATGGCTTTTCATTTCCTCATCTCACTAAGAGGATGAATGTAGCGGGTCGGCACATAACAGCCTATCTTGTTGATTTACTCTCACGTAGGGGTGAGGACCAATTCTTTACAAGAAAACTCGTCAGAACATAAACTACTAATGCAATTGATCATCAAATGATCTTTTTCTGGGTGTCTTTCTGTAGGTATGCAATGAATAGAACTGCTGATTTTGAGACTGTCAGGGAAATCAAAGAGAAACTCTGCTATATCAGGTGAATAATCATTTTATTTTGTTTTCTGGTTTTATGAATCTAGTATACAATTCAATGTCACATTACCTGTGTTTACATGCAGTTATGATTACAAAAGGGAATATCAACTGGGACTTGAGACTACCATCCTTGTTAAGAATTACACTGTAAGTACTTATGGTGAATTTGTCATTCCCTTGCCTGCCACAAATATTTGATTACCTATGCAAGGAACTTTATCTGGAATCTAAACAAACAAACAAAATAATCATATATTACCCTTCAGTCCTTTTTTTTCTTTTGTGATTTTTACTTGTTAAATTTTACGCACATTTATGGATTAGATCTGGCATTTGAGTTTCTCTAGATTTGGAGTAGAAAAACTCTAATGAAAAGTATTGTATCTAGACTCTAGAGTACTGACAATTTTTGTTTAAAACAGCTGCCTGATGGGAGAGTTATTAAAGTAGGCACTGAAAGGTTCCAGGCCCCTGAGGCTCTTTTCACCCCAGTAAGTACTGTAGTTCTTTCTGTTGTCCTTGACTCTGTGATACCTGTTTTACTCTGTGGTTTTGCATCAAGTAGGCTGGGATTTGAGTTCTGATGAATTATTGTGGTTGAACTAAGAACATCTAGTAAAAAAAGTATAGGGATAAACTACACTAGTGGTCATTTTTGTATAATTTTTTATTTTGATCACTCAAACTTTCAAAAGTTACATTTTGATCACTTATATTATTGATTTATTGATGATTCATGACACGGCTCTTTAATAAAAAGGGTTAATTTGTAATTTGGGGGTCATATTATTCACTCAACCCTTTTTATTAAAGTTTAGGGGGTCAACTTACAAATTAACCCTTTTTACAAATTACAAATGTGACAAGAGTTAACATCCAGATCCAATTGACCATTTTGTGATAAATCGATAATGTAAGTGACCAAAATGTAACTTTTGAAAGTTGAATGATCAAAATCAGAAAAAAAGTGACCACCAGTATAGTTTACCCAAAATATATTTGATAGACCATAGATTGTCAAAGTAAGATTTTTTTTTCTTCTTTTGTAGGATCTTATTGATGTTGAAGGTGATGGTATGGCTGACATGGTTTTCCGCTGCATTCAGGAGATGGATATCGACAACCGCATGATGGTACAAAATTATTTTTAGGCATATAGTTTCAATTGTCTAAAATTACTCTAACAAAGTGCTGAAGTTTCATGCTGTAAATCTTTACTGTGTATATGTATTTTAACGAAGCTTTGTGTCACCCTCTTTCTTTGAAGCCAATATGCTGTGTTATGTCATGTGCCTATTTCCGTTCTTTGCTTTATTTTAGTTGACCATTTTCTTCAAGAAGTTTGCTCTTTATTATCTTTTTTGTGTAAACTGCTTGTCTAATGGAGGATACAACTTCCTAAAGCAAAGTTATTTTCTAGTACACTTCCGATCCATTTGAAATGTAATCTCCTTCAATACTTTAGCATTTACTTATGAAGTCTTATCTTTAGATGTCAGGACGGTGATTTACAGATTCCAAAATGGATCATCATGAATAATAAACAGTTAATAAATCAATATCAAGTGAATTCTTGCATTATGGATAACAACCCTTTGCAAAAAAGGAAAACTGGATCCTTCGGCTTTAGTATATGTATATGTTCTTGGTGTTGGGATTTGAGTTGTTGATCTAACTTGTTGTTTGCTTTATATTTTACAGCTCTATCAGCATATAGTTTTAAGTGGAGGGAGCACCATGTACCCTGGGTTACCTAGTCGGTAATATGCCTTGTATAAAGAAACATATTCTAAGATACATTTGAAATTACATGCAGTGAATTCCAGTATCTCTAATCCTGGTTCCCATCATTCCCCCGACCCATTGTCTAGTATGGTTGTGCCTTCTTATTATAACAATGTTCTTTTGATTCAGGCTGGAGAGGGAAATCCTAGATCGATATCTTGATGCGGTTCTAAAGGGAAACAAGGATGGATTGAAGGTAATATTTCTTGCCGAAGGCAAGTCATCATTTGAGATAGGTACAGCAAAAAAAAAGTAAATGGCTGAAACAAATTTTGATGCTCATCTTTAAATTGTTTTCTCATGCTTCAAAATAGAAACTGCGATTGAGGATTGAGGATCCACCACGCAGAAAGCATATGGTGTATCTTGGTGGTGCTGTACTTGCCGGGATTATGAAGGTTCACTTCTCTCTCATTCCTAGATTTGGGCATGTATATACATTTGCGCAGCCGAAAGAAAGAGAATTATTTTTCAAATGCTTGGTTTGAGCATGAATAGGGATGGCAACGGGCCGGGTTCGGGCCGGGTATTGGTCCCCCGTCCCCGTCCCCGTTTAAAAAACCGGTACACGTCCCCGTTTAAAAAACCGCGGGGATTTAAACGGGGATCCCCGTCGGGTAATCGGGGAAAACCGCGGGGAAACAGGTATCCCCGTTTAGCATAAACGGTTATTTAAACGGGTATTGGGCCGGGTATTGGGTCGGGTATTGGGCCGAGAATCGGGCCGGGTATATATATATATTTAAATTAAATATATAAATATATATTTTTTATTTAAATTAAATTTATTAATATTATATATATATATATATATATATATATAAATAATTATTTTTAATATTTATCGGGTCGGGTATCGGGGCGGGTAATCGGGGCGGTGATTACCAAACCCATCCCTGTTCCCGTCCCCGTTTAAAATAAATGGGTTTTCCCCGTCCCCGTTTATCATCCCCGAACCCGACCCGTTTAATTCGGTTTTCGGTTTTCCCCGTCGGATTCGGGTTTTTTTTGCCATCCCTAAGCATGAATAGCATATAGCATCTGATGGCAGCTTAGAATTCATCGAAGAATATTTAAGTCTTGCAGGATGCACCCGAGTTTTGGATCAACAAGGAAGATTATTTGGAAGAGGGAATTAGCTGCCTAAGCAAGTGTGGCCCGGCTTGACTCTTTTTAGCAACAGTTCTCAATTCTTGTTGGATGTTCAGTGTTGTTCGCCCTGTGATTCCATTCATTAGCCTAGAAAACCACACACAAGGGTATCTAAGGTAAGCTGTATCGTATCAGTCGACTTGGTTAAACTATCACCCTACACCATTTGCTTATCAGACCGAGCAGCCTCTTGAGTGTTTCTCTCTTATGTAGAAGCTATATATAGTTTTACCCTACAACAAATTTTGGTTTTGATATGTACTCTAATATATGTCGTTACGGTCATGGTGTTTTTCCTTTTCAATGAGGCGTGAGCCTCTGAACTGTACTGTAATGTGCGTACTTATTTGAAAATAAATGAATTTGTCAATATATATATACCGTGACAGGAAATGGCTTTACGTAAAGTATACCAGCATTTTCCTTTTAATATGATTTTCGGCCATTGTTCAAAGTTTAGGACTTTTTGTTGATCTAATTTTTTTTCCTCTAAGCATCATTGATTGCAACATCCCAAGGAATGGTTTCGCTAAATTGCAATGTTTCACCTTACATTTGATAGGGGGAAAAAACAGTTATGTCCAATATCTTTTAGAGGTTTCCCAAATCTGCAAATGATTTAAGTTATGCAAATTTCTGCATAACTTACAGTGACAAGTTTCATAAGAAAAGAAGACACGTTAGAGTGGGAAAATGATAACAAAAGAACAAGAGATAAACCACTCCGCTTGGTGGGAAGCAAAATTGGGATGCCAACACCCACCAACCACACCCAGCCAGGCTCTCCTTGGACACGCCAGAGCGAAGATTCCATTGTCTAGTGTGTTAGGTCCCTCGACCAGTGGCCTACCCCAACCCCATATGGACCAAATCCAAATTCTTCAAAGAAACAATTTTTTGACACATAATCCTTTCTCAATACTATTCATTAGTTTTAATTTTTTTTGTATGAACCAACTCCAATGAAACACAGCCACCTGCACTTTCATGTGATTTTCATTTCCTTTGAACAAGTAAAGCCACACCATTGTGATTTCATGTCTTAATACTTCCCTTATAAATTTGTAGTCCACATCTAGATATCACAATTCATAGTTTTCAAGTTTGGTTTCTACTACTCCCTGCACTGATACTCTGAGAAATCTTTTCACATGGTTTGTTTCCTCATAATCAATAAATCTGCATTTAAACGTATTAATGGATTTCTCATGATATATTTATATGTATTATCACATTTTTTATTATTGAATCAGGGTGTAATTGAATGTTCAGCTATAATGGAGAAGCCCAATGGGAACGTGTCTTAGCTTAGTGTGAATCGAGGAGAGCCAACACTGGTATGTCCAGCTGAAGACAGAAAGGGGCTTTTACTTTCTTTCGAATCTTGACCAAAACATCGCGGTCATTGTTCTCACCATCTATTGCTTTAAGTCAAACGAGAACGGGAATGAAGATGCTGGTAAAATAATCAAGGATGCATTAAGTACTTGTTCATTATTATCCTCTAGCCGGAAGGTTAACAATCAGCTCGGAGGGTAAACTAATCGTTAAATGCACCGGCGAAGGGGCTGTCTTTGTTGAAGCGGAAGCAAACTTTAAGATGGAGAAGATTGGAGACATAAGAAAGCCTGATCCTCAGACTCTTGGAAGTTGGTTTATGACATTACTGGTGCAAAACATACTAAGATGCCACCTCTAGTGGCTCAGGTATTTCAAATTTCACCGTTGAATAATTTTCGATATACGAAAAATTCGATTCTTTGCATGATAAGCACAGGTGTTTATCACTCGATTATCTAAATGTTGAATTTTGTTTAAAGGTGACCAAGTTCCAATGTGGAGGATTTGTCCTGGGCCTGTGCATGAACCATTGCATGTTGATGGCATCGGTGCAATGGAATTTGTTTACACATGGGGGGAAGTAGCCCGAGGTTTACCACTAACTATCCCGCCGTTTTCGGACAGAACCGTTCTGAAAGCTCGAAGCCCACCTAAGATAGAGCACCTGCATCAGAAATTTGCTGAGATAGAGGACAAGTCTATCACTGTTGATCTCTACAAAGATGAATTGCTCTATAGATCTTTCTGTTTTGAGCCCGAGAATATTGAAAAACTAAAGAAAAACGCTATGGAAGATGGTGTTCTTGAGAAATGTACTACTTTCGAAGCTCTTTCGGCATTTTTGTGGAGGGCTCGGACTAAGGCCTAAGGCACTTAACATGCTGTCTGACCAACAAACAAAGCTTCTCTTCGCAGTTGATGGCAGGCCTAGATTCAATCCTCCTCTACCAAAAGGTTACTTCGGCAACGGTATTGTATTGACGAATTCCATATGCTGAGCAGGTGAGCTATCAGAGACCGTTTTCACACGCTGTGGGGCTTTTCAGGATGCAATTAAGATGGTTACAGATGATTACATGAATCACCATAGATTACTTTGAGGTTACAAGAGCTAGGCCATCTTTGTCGTCCACTCTTCTCATCACTACTGGTCTAGGCTATCTTTCCACACCACAGATTTCGGATGGGAAGAGCCTGTTCTATCAGGGCCGATTGCATTGCCGGAAGGAAGTCATCTTGTTTCTATGGCATGGAAAGAGAGGAAAAGCATAGATGTTCTCTTAGGGTTGCCAGCTTCTTCCATGAAGGCCTTCCAGGAACAGATGCACGTTTAGATAAACAACTAATATTTGCATAATGCCGTTGTCGTCTTCTCTTTGTGGAATATCGCTACGTTGGTCTGTAAGACATGCAGCTGATCAGTGAAAGAACAGTCCTGCATGACCTAGTAAAGTTGGAGGGTTGTTTTTTCGTTTTTATTATAATGCGGATTTTATATGTCAAGAGCCGTAGGCACAATATCGATCCCAACTTGCATTTCCCAGGCTTGTGTATCTTGATTTAAATTCAATCATTTGTCTTCATCAAAAATCATAATAATATTGTCTTATGTTTCATTCTTTATTCAAGAGCAAGTCTCTTTCCCTGGAACCTACAGAATAAGACATTGCAGATTAAGTGGTTGAGATTGAATAAGTCCATCCTCTATTACCCAAAAAAAAATCAAAACGCAAACGAAGAGAAACAAATACATAAGATTAAAACCAAAGTTCATTTGCATGTATCAGTTCAGATAGAAAGCATCTTGAAAAGCAATGCGAATATCGAGCAGGAGAGGATGCAAATACCTACTAATATGGCCCTCTTGTCTTCCTTAAAGAGCACCAAGAGGCCGGAAGACAAATGCTAAAGGGTGCATAGGTTCTCCATTTCTTGAATTATGCGCAGACTGGGAAATGGATAGAACCTTCACCAGATAGCAGAGGATAAAGAGGTCGTATTTTATCTTCTATAACCGGGATTAGTGTGTTAAGAAAAAATGATAACAGGAAAAGTAGCAAATGGATTCTGTAATGTGGGAATAGCATGTATACCCCGTGTTTATCTGTGATTCTGTTGACAGAGAACCTGAAGTTGCAGTCTATTTGAACCTCAGCGCTGGTAAGCAAATATCCAAAGCAACAACAAAACTGGAACAATCAAGGTTGTTGAGAGACGCTTCACATGGTGCCATTTTTGGTTCATGCTAAAGCTATGACTTGCAACCCAATGTGTATATGTCGACGAATCCATAGCTTTCCATTATATGAAACAATCAAGTGAACAAATAGAAACAAAAGGCAGCTACCGAATGCAAGAAAACACCGTTTTTATAAAGACACTAATACATCACCACGACTCACTGTTACTCAAGAATGCCCTAAACATATCACGTAAGAATGAAGGATGTCACTGTTCTACTTATTATTTTGCTTCCAGCGACCACGGCCAGCCAGATACATCTCAGGAACCCTTGAGACCATTTCAGAAGCGTGATTCTGAATCAAGACGATTTCATCTTACAATAGGAACATGAACAGAAGTTTTCTGTGGTGGCTCGTCTACCATCTTTTCTGCTATACAAGAATTAACCACATTCTAACATTCAGCATATATAAGAGAAAAGTATAAAGAAAAAAATTGCTTGCAGTGGGAAAAAGTTATGAGAAGATCAAAGTACCTGTTTTCGCTTTTGTTACAGAGGGCTGCACGACAACATGCATTGTGATGACCGCTTTAGGGAGATCATTGAAAGGTGCTCTACACTGGCCAACAGTCCTGTTTTCTCCAAAATACTCCCAGCATTATCAGCTTAATGTCATTGGCTCCCTTAGGTGCAATCTTTTGTCTAACACGTACGAAACAATTAATCCAACGTTATACAGCACGCAGACAACATTCTAGATCTTTCCTACACGCATCCCACCATAATGAAGGTTCAGAAATAATTTCCCATACTGAAGTCGGGTGCATAAAAGTAAACTCAAACAGTACTGCCAAGATAGCCATTGCTAACCTTGAAGGTATAAACATCATTCAACACAATAGAGCAGAACAAGAAGATAAGAAAACAAATAAAACATACAAAGTCAGCAATGAGAGCAGATTGTCAAATGCAATAGTAACTACTAAGTAATTTCAACCCGAATTACAACGAACAAGGCATCCAACCTATCAAAGGATGAAAGAACGAAGTTTTATGATTTGCAGAGTTAGTTTAGCGAGTATTACAAAATGGAATATGGATCAGCTTATCCTTGCATTGAATCAAAGATTAAAATACGGACAGAAAATACATATGTCAAACCACTTGTTGATCTCGGAACACGGTCCACATATGTAAATAACGTAAACTAGACGTCCGGACCTCCGGTCATTAATGGTATGTGTTGTGCAACAAAAGGATGGAATAGTAGTAGTCTAAAACAAGGGACCGAAAACCAACAGAGAATAGGATGGCAGAGGAAAACCCTGAATATCTTCATCGATTATCAGCTTCCTCCAAAACTAAAATTAATCATGTCAGAGATTAAGAATCCACTTAAGAGTTTCCAACGAGAACATCATAACCATCGCCACCTTTGTCAAAATGCCAGAGAAATTGCGGATTTCTACAAACGGCAATCAATAACCATCTATTATCGGATCTAAAGCCTCCCGGTGGCTAGCGATTCTGTCAATCAATATAGGAAAAAACAAACTGTTGGATTAAGTTATACAAACAAATCCACCTATTATTCCCAAAAAAGTGAACACTGTTAAGGTGAAACAACCTGCTAATAATGCCGCTTGGCCCTTCTAGACAATCCAACTTAAATTCTACACTCAAAAAAAAACTTGAAACAAGGGATCGAACCACAAAACTCCCCACTACATTATCTAAAAGCCATGGAGAAAATTATTCAATCAAGCCATAACTATAAAACAAAACAGCACTACATATCCCTATACCTCATTGAACAAGCTTAAATTTAGATTTAGAAAATTACAAAGCAATTTGGCATTA